ACTAGTCTCTGGAAGAACAGACAATCAATAGCTCCAACTTTGACCCCTCAGGATGTCGAGAACGCTTTAAAGCCACTGTTCAATTACTTCGATGAGAATTTCGCTATCATGAAGCAGACTTTAACAGATGCATCCATGATTATGGTAATGACTCGACTATGGAAGGAAGTTCTCATCGCCCTCGAGAGTCTTCTAGTTCCACCTCTCTCAGACAAGCCATCTACTCAAAGACCTCTCACACAACAAGAAATGGACATAGTTTTCAAATGGCTTGAACTTCTATTCGAATTTTTTCATGCCCGGGATGAGCAAACTGGCGAAGCAATGGGAGTGCCCGCTGATGTTCTCAAGTCCCCCAAATATTCTGAGCTCGCTACACTTAATTTCTTCTACTTTGACTCCACCGATAACCTCATCCGCACCTCGGAAAGAATGGCCACTGCAACCGCTCAACGTGCTCAACAACAACGCAATCGTCTTTCGGCGCCTGCTACTCTCGGTGCTTCTTTTGGAGGTCTTATGGGATCAACTTCAATGCGCAGGAGTAAGAGTATCATGTTGAGCAGAAATTTGGGAACTATGAAAAAGGCCAAGGAGGAGAAGAGGAAACAGGCACAGGCTGATCCGAGTGATGATATGATTCTGAGAATTTTAAGAATGAGACCAGAGGCAACGGCTTATCTGAGAGATAGGAGTAGGCAAAAGGAGAGGTTAGCTGCAGCTGCAGCAGCCGAAATGATTGTGAGACAAAGTTTGGCAAGTGGAGGTGGACCAAGATTTGGAGCGAATAATCTGCCTCGGAGATAGAGGAGATTGGCTCTTTTCAATGGAGAGAAAGATGGGATCTATGCATGACGGGAAGTAATTATGAGTCTATGACAGGAGACGAGATAAGATGGTAGGCGTTATTCTTTTGACTGAGAGATACCACTGGCATATTTGTTTTGGGATTTAGATATTCTTTATTCCTTTTCTCTGAGGTTTCGGTGGGGTTTGGTGAGATTTTTTTTATCACTTTGGGGATTTGAGCAGAAGATGGGAGGTTTGTGGGAAGATATTTGGGAAAGACAATAGGGATCCATACGTAACTAATTATTGAGATGATCATTTGAAGATCTCGCAGAGATGGTTGGTAGTTGTGTGCAGGTTGATTGATGGATTTATCGCTGCTAGGGGTTGGGTTGAAGTTGTGGTGGTTGTGGTGGTTGCTTGCTTTGCTTTGCTTTGCTTTGGGTTTGGCTTGGCTTGGCTGGACGGGATGGGACGGGATGGTATGGGACTGAGGTGGAGGGGGGTAATGAAGTGAGGGTGAGGGTGAGAGTGAAAGGAAGGCGTAGTGGCTTTGTGTATATATGTATGTAGGTTAGGTATGTAGAAATACTGAGATATTAATTTGAGAAATCTTTGACTTGAAAAGGATTGTGCGTTTTGTTGGCTGGGTGGAGAAGGAGAAGAGAGGGGGAGGGGTGATAGTGAGGTAGGGAGGCGGAGAGGGGGGTGTATAGGGATATAGATATATAGGGGAGGGGGTAGGTATATAAATAAATATACCTAGTATAATACCTCGAGTCTATCTAGGTGTCTTTTTATTTTATTTCTCATGATTTCTAAATTTTGTGTTTTGATTTTTTTTTGAACTTTTTTTGAAATTGAGATGGTAAATAATGAGATGGGATGGGATAGAATAGGATAGAATGGGATTATTAAATCGATGAATATTGAATATACAGATACAGAGTAAAAAGTAGAGAGTAGAGAGATAAAGAGTAGAGAGGCAAAAAAGTAAAATGAAAATGAGAATGAAAATGAGAATGAAAATGAGAATGAAAATGAGAATTTAATACTGGGATGTTTGGGAGGAGAGAGGATTTTTAGTGGAGGAGAGGAGAGGGGATACTTGTTATATTATATTATATTTATTTATTTAGATAGGTAGGTAGATAGATAGGGGGATAGGTAGATAGATAGTTATTTAGGTAGGAATTTATATAGTAGTAATAGGTATGTATCTACTAGGATTTTTGGGGGATCTTTTGAAGAATTTTTTTTTGATGGTGTGGAGAGGGGATGTTTGGGATGTTGGGAGGAGGGGATGGGGGGCGGAAAGGGATGTTTGGTACGAGGGGAGGAGAGGGGGAGAGGGGAGAGGGAATGGAATGGCATGGAATGGTTAGTAAGGTTTAAGGTTTGGATGGTTTGGATGGTTTGGAGGTTGGAGGTTTGGCGGTTTGGCTGGTTTGGCTATTAGGTAGGGCTCTTGTGATGTTTTTGCTTTCTTGCTTTTTTTTTTTTTTTTTCACCCGCTTCAGGGGGGGGCTTGGCCCTCTGCCCCTCTGCCGGGGGTGGGTGGTGCGCGGTGCGCTTTGTGGGCTTGGGGTGGTGTATGGTGTGTCTGGCTGGTCTGCACTCGTCTGGCTGGTCGGTTCATCGCTGCCTGCACTGGTATAGCTGGTAGCGCGCGCGGCTCTTGGGCTGGTGCCGTTGGACCTGGAGATGGAGCGTGGAGGCTGGAGTTTGGAGTTTGGCGTGTTGAAGATACCTAGGTATGGATAGTATGTGTATATGCTAAAGATGGAGGATGAGGATGAGGATGAGGATGAGATGTATATGAGATGAGCTATTAACCAGCAACTCGCGGCTAAGAGTCCTTTATACCTACCTAGTAGTTTCTTGATATACTACTAAACTCTACTACTACTCTACTGTCCTCTGCTATATAGAATATAAAAGCACCATGCATGCATGCATATATTTATTTTATTTTATTTCGTTTGATTTATTCAAGGAACAAGCGTCTCAGGCTCTCTTCCCAAATTCCCTCCCTCCTGACAAATACAAATTATTATCCCTTAGGTGCGTTAAATGGGCTCCGAAGGTAGTCTGTGCGATATACCTTGAATAATAAAGCCTTATTGGATAGAATAGTTATTTTAATGGTTTTTCAATTATATTATTTATAATATAAAATCTTGATTTCTAATTTCGATTTTTTGAAATTTGAAAAATGCTCAAGATTGAAAATTAGTATATATTATTATATTCAAAATTTTGATATAAAAATAATATTGATTGATTTTTATATTGAAAATTGAATATGAATATTGAATTAAATCAAGGAATTATAATGATCTGATTGGTTGATATGCCCCTGTTAAGCGACAGAGCCCATTTAACGTACCTAAGGGGATATAATATAATATACATATACGAACAGGCGGGATATTCACACGGTAAGTAAGTACTAAGTACTAAGTACCTACGATAAACCGGTCTGAGAGCCCGCAGCGCAGCTGATGAGAGAAATAAATGGAGATGTGCTATCTATCTATCTTTCTTTCTTTCTATCTATGGATAAATACCTAGGTAGGCATGTCGATCTACAAAATACACATACCATACATACCTAACATATTCGTTCGTATACCTACCTACCGGTATGTCCTTCGTACATACGAGCATACCTACCTAGGTACACGTGCAAAAAGATCCGAAGCGCCGGCCAACTCGTAGGCATAGCCGAGCCTTAATTATGGAGATGCGAGTGGGAGCGTGCTGGTTAGGGGATAGTGTGGTTTAAGTATGTTAGGTTAGTTAGGTATGGATGTTAGGGATTGCGGACCTCGCTGGGCAGCTTGGGCAAGCGTGGCAAGCGTGGCGAGTGTGGCAGCTCGGTGCTAAAATAGCCCTCCCTGGAGGGAAATAAAGGGTCCACTGTACCAAGGATTTTTAGGACCCTGAGATTTTTGGGAACTGGGAAGGGGAATAAAAAAGAGAGGATTGACTCGCATTTTGGGATGGGAAAGGGTTTTCGGGGTTTGGAGGGGTTTTGGTGTGTTGTTTTTCGGATTTGAGGGATTGGATTGGATTGGATTGGACTGGTTTGGAGAATCTTTTGAAAGAATTGGAACGGGGAAGGCGAAAAATGACTTTCTTTGTCACTGACTCACTCACTGGTACTGGTGTTTTGTATGAGAATTTCGGTAATTGTTTTGGTGACCAAATTCAAAATTTGATGAAGAAATTGAATTTAGATCAGCTCAGGACGTCATAAAAGCCAAGGAAAGAGAAGTATGAAAACTGGAGCTTCTTTGAATGAGGCTCATGGAGCATGAAGCGGCTCTTTCATGCCATTTTTTGCTTTGTTGGCCTCGGTTTTGCCGTGTGTGTGTGAAGAAGCTATTGATGGATGGGATGGGTTAAAGCAAAGCAAAGCAAAGCAAAGAAAAAAGGTTTGGTAGGCTCGTAGGCTCGTAGGGTAATATGTCAGGATATCTTATTAGTAACGGCAACGGATTCTTGAGCCTTTAAACCAAAATCCGTACGGTACGACGGAGTACACAGCCTCCGCATGGATTTTGATAAGGGGGTTGAGTTGATGACCATGCCATTCAATGCCAATCAAGACCGGTAGGTCCGTAGATGGTTCCCACTCATGCCATTTGCGCATGCAGATTGCACAATCCCCGAAGTTAAGCAAAAGACGAACTATTGGTGCTTCGCATTTCGAAGGCCGCTTTTTGAGATGGGCAAAAAGGAATTGGAGGGGCTCGAGGCCTTCTTGTGCTTCTCGCGCTTCCGTATCATCGTTCCACGTTGGGTGGTGGTTGAAGCAGCGGTGTATTGAAAAGAAAATGGGAAGTACTAACCGAAAAACGTCCCATCCGCTAGTTGGGTGGATGTGGATGCTTAGGTAGGTAGGTTCGCTTTTTCAGGCAATAAGAATTAAGTTAATGCATGCAACTGTTGTCGATCCCTTCTCGAAACTGTCACCAAAGTTTGATTACACCAGGCCCTGTTGGTCGTAAATCTTGGTCTGATGGAAGCGGAAATGGAAGATCGGGCGCAGAGATCTACTCGAATGATCTATAATCTGAAACGTTTCAATTCTGTTGATTCCTGCGATTCCGGTGACACTGTTTGTGATTTGACAAATTGACATATCAAGGCTTGTAAGGGTTCCCAAGATTAATGACTCTCTCTCTCTCTCTCTTCGGTAGACGATGGAGGCCGCTGGTCTTGAGTCGGAATATATCGAACGTTCTAACTTCTCTCGCTCTCCAGGTTTATCCCCAGATTATACCGTTTCTAAGATTGGCTGCGTTGTTCGAATCATGCCAGGGACCCAACGTGTTGGCAAGGAAGCCTCAGGAAGGGAAGGGAAGGATGAAATAGATGGGATGGAGGGATGATTGATGATTGATGAACATTAAACACAAGGAACCGTTATCCCCAACTTGGCGATACGAAGGACACAATTACAACTTACAAGCCTAAAAGCCTCAGCCGTCAGTGTCAAATCGATCTCACTCGTGATGCGTGCAAAGACTCGTGATGTGATGGTGGAAGTATATTCATTCCACTTTAACGTGGGCAAGAGAGGAATTAAGGATGCTAACGAGATGGCCGAGTAATACTGCATCTGCATCTTGAGGCGAGCAGCAGTTGGAAAGAAGGGTCATTGGATAGAAGAAGAGATCATTTCCTCCAATATAACGCAAAAGCGTCGTGGGGTGAATATGTCGTGGTCAGAGTGGAAGAATGTGAGATGGGATACGATTCGCTCGCTCACCTACTTGGGTATGGATTGGCAAATGTATCCCTGGGACACACAAGCCATTCAGGATTCTTACCTTTCTTTTTATCCCTTGCTCGTCGAAAAGGTTGAATTTGACGTTTCGAGTATGATAGGTCTAATCATGATAGGTTTCGAAGCGGAGAGGGATTGGAGAAGCCGGTGTGTGTGTGTGTGTGTGTGTGTACCTAGGTATTAATTGAGCGAAATAAGGAAATGGAAATAGAAATAGAAATAGAGATATTGTAGCTAGGTAAGAAAAGAGAAGCCGTTTGTGATTAGGTGTTGTTTGATAGATGTATTTATAGAATGAAATGTATTTTCTTTTATTTATTCTTTATGCTTTTTTGTTTTAATTTTTAATTCTTCTCTTTCTCTTTCTCTTTCTTTTTCCCATTCTTCTATCATTGACAATGAATTGATATTAGATGAATTAGTCTGTATATAGTGGATTAGATTCAATTCCCTAGGTCGTCCACGGTCTCGTAGTATTCCGTCCATATCAAAGCCACGGAAGGTTTGGTCCCTATGGAACATAAGCGATAAACTGGTGAACCGCTAAGCCCCTGTGTGGTTAAGAAAGTTAGATAAGTAAAGTGAATTTGGGGGAACCCTGACAGCAAAAGACAAAAAGGCATAATATACTACCTAGGTGTCCTGTTATACCATATTACCGTCCCATATCAGACCATACAATCAATACCAGCAAATCAATACCAGTTCTGGTATTCGTAACAGTATCATACAAGATCGAAGGAGGAGAAAAGCTTCCTCTACCTACCTCTCTAACTCTCAAACTCTCTACCTCTCTACCTCTCTATCTCTCTATCTATCTATCTATCTATTTATCTATCTACCAATCAACATACATAGACAACCGTCTCTTCCATCTCCTCGATTACAAATATCAAAACTTCTTCTATATTCCCTCCAATTTGCATACTGTGTAAGTATAGAAAACTCTCTCCTTCTTTCTTCACACACTCTTCCAATACAAACCCTCCCAAAAAGAGAGAAAGAATTGAAATCCTCCAACACGACAAGAACAACTACTACTTCCACCCCCTCCCTCCCTAACTACCCTCCCTGGTACACTCACTCTCTCGTGTCCGGAATACAACAAAGTCACACTCACACCTCACACTTCACACCTCGCATCTCAAACCTCACACAGCCTTTTCTACCTTTCTCTCCTCGAAACTTAAAATTTTCTGTATTATAATTTATCTATCATCACCTCTTTTTTTCCCACCTTATCACCCCATCCATTCATTCCCTTTCCACCTATTTGATCAGGGTCTGTCCTGTTTTGAAATTCCTTCCAATCGGAAATCGGCATTGTCGCTTCGTAGTGGAGATCAAAAGTTGTCGACCTGACAAGGGAGACAAGCCGTTGGACTTTCTACTAGAGAAAAGACATCCACTTCACACATCTTCAAAAGAGTAGAGGTAATTCCTATTTTACTCGCAATCATTGTAATAGTTCTTCCCCCCTTTCTCTCGATTTAAGAGCGTCATGCAATCGTGAAGTCTTCTTTGACTCGCTCACTCAACTCACCCACGCACCCACGCACCCACGCAACCCACCCATTCATCTCAACCTAACAAAATTGCAGCTCGTCCACTCCTTGACACCACCACCTCGTATTACATTTACCGATCGAAAAATCCGACACCGTCGAAGCGGCCAACTGAGATTTTTGACTTCATGGTAGACGGAAAATTCTTTGTTACGACTTAGCAGCCTGGCTGCATATACAGAGACCAAAATGGGGGATTCTACAATAGCACACACTATTGCGATCCTGCAAACTCTCGCATTATCGAGTCTCGAACTTCCACCAGCGAATGTCTACGGCAATAAAGGGATTAGGTTACCAGGTGCAGCTACATCAGAGAAGCTTGCCCTCGAACGAGAACTTACGGCCTTGGTTTCAAGAGTTCAAAGATTAGAAGCAAAGGCGATCACAGTCAATAATCAAGCCCTACCAGATACACCGAATGAATTAGGAGCACCATCTGCTTTTGCAGATGTACTCACCGGTGCTCCATCCCGTGCCTCAAAGAGTACTACCTCCCGACAACAACTCGTAAATTCGTTGCTCGCCGCTAGAGAAGCGCCCACCGGCGGTGAAAGGCCTCCTAAATTTACAAAATTGAGTGATGAGGAACTCGAAGCACTCCGCGAACATGTCGACGATCAATCGAAACAACTCGATAGTCAGAAATCTGAGTTGGCTGGTGTACATGCTCAACTGTTTGAGCAGAAGCAGAGACAAGAACAAGCACTCAATGTTCTCGAGGTCGAACGCGTAGCAGCTCTCGAAAGAGAACTGAAGAAGCATCAACAAGCCAACGAGGCTTTCCAGAAAGCTCTACGGGAAATAGGAGAGATTGTCACAGCTGTAGCTAGAGGTGATCTCAGTAAGAAGGTACAAATCCACTCCGTGGAGATGGACCCTGAGATTACCACTTTCAAGCGGGTAAGCATATCATGTCAAACTTTTCCGCATCCACCCTCTCTAACTCTTTTTTTTTTTAGGTTATCAATACTATGATGGATCAGCTTCAGATATTCTCGAGTGAGGTCTCCCGTGTAGCGAGAGAGGTCGGCACAGAAGGTATTCTCGGTGGACAAGCCAAGATTTCTGGTGTTGATGGTACATGGAAGGAGTTGACTGACAATGGTATGTATTTACCACTTTGGAGGCCTTTGTTTATTTTATCTGGGCGAACTGACTAATTGTTTACAGTCAACGTTATGGCACAAAATCTCACCGATCAAGTCCGAGAAATTGCTTCCGTCACTACTGCTGTAGCCCATGGAGATCTCACACAAAAGATTGAGAGACCAGCTCAGGGTGAGATACTCCAACTGCAACAAACGATCAATACCATGGTGGATCAACTGAGAACGTTCGCCGCCGAGGTCACCCGCGTAGCAAGAGATGTAGGAACTGAAGGTATTCTTGGAGGTCAAGCGGAAATCGAAGGCGTCCAAGGCATGTGGAACACATTGATAGTGAACGTCAACGCTATGGCCAACAACCTCACCACACAAGTGCGCGATATAGCCATTGTCACAACAGCTGTCGCAAAGGGAGATTTGACACAGAAGGTTCAGGCAGAGTGTAAGGGTGAAATTAAGCAGTTGAAGGAGACTATAAATTCCATGGTGGACCAATTACAACAATTTGCGCGAGAAGTCACGAAGATTGCTAGGGAGGTCGGTACCGAAGGTAGACTGGGCGGGCAAGCAACAGTGCATGATGTTGAAGGCACTTGGAGAGACCTCACCGAAAATGTGAATGGTATGGCCATGAATCTTACGACACAAGTACGAGAGATCGCAAAGGTTACTACCGCTGTCGCTAGAGGAGATTTGACCAAGAAGATTGAAGTGGAAGTTCAGGGAGAAATCGCTTCGCTGAAAGATACCATCAACACCATGGTGGACAGACTTGGCACATTCGCTTTTGAGGTTAGCAAAGTCGCCAGGGAGGTCGGAACTGATGGAACCCTTGGTGGGCAAGCGCAAGTTGATAACGTCGAAGGAAAGTGGAAAGACCTCACCGAAAATGTGAACACCATGGCCAGAAACTTGACTACTCAAGTACGAGGTATCTCGACTGTTACACAAGCTATTGCCAATGGCGACATGAGTCAGAAGATTGAGGTTGCTGCTGCGGGTGAAATACTCATACTAAAGGAAACCATAAATAACATGGTAGACAGATTGAGTATCTTCTCCAATGAAGTGCAAAGAGTCGCCAAAGATGTGGGTGTGGATGGTAAGATGGGTGGTCAAGCTGACGTTGCCGGGATTGGCGGCCGTTGGAAAGAGATCACGACGGATGTCAATACCATGGCTAACAACTTGACAACTCAAGTGCGCGCCTTTGGTGATATTACTAACGCCGCAACCGACGGCGACTTCACAAAATTGATCACTGTCGAAGCATCTGGAGAGATGGATGAGTTGAAACGAAAGATCAACCAGATGGTCTACAATTTGAGGGACAGTATTCAAAGAAACACCTTGGCTAGGGAGGCTGCCGAATTTGCCAACAGAACGAAGTCTGAATTCTTGGCCAACATGTCTCACGAGATTCGAACACCTGTTAGTACCACTCTGTTCCCCGCTCTGTTTTCTTTTGCATTACGCTCGAGTGCTTTTTCAACTGTTTGTACTAGCTTGAACATTGAAATGCTCTACGTGGCAGGCTCTTTTGTTCATCACTGATCCCATTTACCAATCTTTCATTCTCCTTAACCTAATGTATTTACATTTTCGCTAACGTTGGTGATAGATGAACGGTATCATTGGTATGACCCAGTTGACACTCGACACCGATCTTACTCAATATCAACGAGAAATGCTCAACATTGTTCACAACTTGGCCAACAGTTTATTGACCATCATTGATGATATTCTCGATTTGTCAAAGATCGAAGCAAACCGTATGATCATGGAGGAGATTCCATACACTCTTAGAGGAACCGTCTTCAACGCACTCAAGACTCTGGCCGTCAAGGCAAATGAGAAATTCTTAGATCTCACTTACCGCGTGGATAGTTCAGTTCCAGATCACGTGGTTGGTGATTCGTTCCGTCTTCGACAAATTATTCTCAACCTGGTTGGAAACGCTATCAAGTTCACAGAGCATGGTGAAGTTTCTTTGACGATCCAAAAAGCCGAACAAGATCATTGCGCGCCAAATGAATATGCAGTCGAGTTCTGCGTTTCTGATACTGGTATCGGTATCCAAGCTGATAAACTCAATTTGATTTTCGACACTTTCCAACAAGCAGACGGATCTATGACGAGAAAATTCGGAGGTACTGGTCTAGGTCTATCAATCTCAAAGAGACTTGTAAACCTCATGCGTGGAGACGTTTGGGTCAAGAGTCAGTACGGAAAGGGCAGTTCATTCTACTTCACGTGTACAGTCCGCCTCGCAACCTCAGACATCAGCTTCATTCAGAAACAACTCAAGCCATATCAAGGTCACAATGTTCTGTTTATCGACAAAGGACAGACTGGTCATGGAAAAGAAATAATCACTATGCTTACACAACTTGGTTTGGTACCCGTTGTTGTCGACTCTGAGCAGCATACCATTCTTCTCGGCAATGGAAGAACCAAGGAAAAGATTGCTTCAACTTACGATGTGATTGTTGTGGACTCAATTGAGTCCGCTCGAAAACTGCGATCAATCGATGAGTTCAAGTATATCCCAATTGTTCTCTTGGCTCCTGTCGTCCATGTCAGCTTGAAGTCTGCTTTGGATCTTGGTATCACTTCTTACATGACCACTCCATGTTTAACGATCGATCTTGGCAACGGTATGATTCCTGCCTTGGAGAACCGAGCTGCACCCTCATTGGCGGACAACACAAAATCCTTCGACATTCTCTTGGCCGAAGACAACATCGTCAATCAACGCTTAGCAGTGAAGATTCTAGAAAAGTATCATCACGTCGTTACTGTCGTTGGCAATGGTCAAGAAGCACTAGATGCCATCAAGGAGAAACGATACGATGTTATTCTCATGGACGTTCAAATGCCAATTATGGTAAGTGCAATGTGCAATCACATTATAACATGGGAGAAATATGACTAACACTATCGCAGGGAGGTTTCGAAGCAACCGCTAAGATTAGAGAGTACGAACGAAGTCTTGGAACGCAAAGAACGCCTATTATCGCACTTACGGCACACGCTATGTTGGGTGATCGCGAAAAATGTATTCAAGCCCAAATGGATGAATACCTTTCTAAGCCTCTGAAACAAAATCATCTCATTCAGACAATCTTGAAATGTGCAACTCTTGGAGGTGCATTGCTCGAGAAGGGTAGGGAGGTTAGGCAATCCGCTAATGAGGAGAGCCCCAACTCGCAAAATGGTACTCGCGGTACACAGCATCCTGCATCGAGTCCCACACCAGCCCATATGAGACCGGCTATTGAGCCTCGTGCATACACGACTACTGGCCCTATAAATCATGGAAGTGTGGAGAGTCCTTCACTTGTAACGGCAGATGCTGAGGATCCACTTGCGAGGGTAAGCACTTGCTGATTCACATTCTAACTTTCACAGAGCCTGTACTAAGCAGTTCTGTAGCTTCTAATGCGTGCGCATAGCAGCTAGTGTGAAATTCATCTTGGTCGAAGTTCGATGATATATGCATGGATTAATGGGCACAGAAAAGCTCTGCCATTATTTCCAATTTCTTTTTCGTAGATACCACCAACTGCGAGTACTTGTTGTTCGTTTCGATTATCTCATCCAAACCTATTTTCAGAATGGCGAAGGGCGTTTTTGGGCAAAGGGAATAAACCACGTTTCGTCAAATGAATTTGGGCGAAGTATCTTTGTTTGGTGCATGGAATTGCCTTGTTTTATTTCACCCATCCGGGAAATTTCTCAGAGGGCTCAAATCAATTTACTTTCATAACACTCGTTCCTGTGCGAACTGGCAGTGTTTGCTACTATTACTACTTTTTTTGGCGGTGGAGAATTATGCATTGATGAGAATCTGGTGGATGGTTTGATGGAAGGGTGGGGGATATTGAATGCTAGTGATTATGATGATGGATATGTAAGGTGTGAGGGGTAAGGGGGTTATTTGAAGAGAGGAATTCAAATGAATTTGAAAGGTTCGATGTATGTATGGAGATGAGAATAAATGAGAATCATGATGCACATTGAAATGGTGGAGATGATGCTGTGATTTGGGTGATTTTTTTAACTCTACTTACTTCCGAAGACTATTGGTGAGTTGCTTTTAAGTTTTCTTCTCCCTATTGAAGCTTGCGTCAGATTTGTTGTTAAAGTTGAGGTCCTTTTTGTTGTATATGTGTGTGCTTTGGGGGAGGGGGGTGAGAAAATAACAAGTGCTGAAAGATAAAAAGATATGTATTTATTTTCTAATCATACCTATCTATCTAACTACCTACTACTTGGCTACATATTCGGTATGCATCGCGTACTGATGTAGTAAGTAGGTAGGTATGTATGCTTAAAGTCTAAAGCTCTGATAGCTACCTAGGTAACTAACTATTTAATCATTTAATTATAATATAAGTACAACCTTATGTTTAGCAGCGAGAAGGGTTTGTTTATCGATGTTGTGTTGGGTTGTGTTGTGTTGTGTTTTGGAGGTGGGTTGGATTTGGAGGTGGGTTGGTTGGTTGGTTGGAAAGTTGATTGGAAAGGAGATGGGGATGGGGATAGGGATAGGGATGGGGATGGGGATGGGGATAGGGATGGGGATAGGAATAGGGATAAGAATAGGGATAGAGATGGGGATAGGGATAGGGATGAGGATAGGGATAGGAATGGGAATGGGGATGGGAATAGGGATGAGGATGGGGATGGGGATGGGGATGGGGATGGGGATGGGGATGGGGATGAGAATTGAATGATTTATAGAGGGTCAGTTTTGGATGATTGGATTTGATAGATTGTGGATTGTGGGTTATGGGTTATAGGTTATGGGTTGTGGGTTATGGGTTGAGTGGAATGGTTTTGGGGGAGGGAATGAAGGAAAGGAAAGGGGAGTGAAAGGGGATTGGAATCGCTTTGGAGGAGGGGGGAGGAGATAGAAATTTTGCTTCTACTCAGAAGGTATAAATTATACTAAATCTATAGTAAAAGTGGGCGAGGGAGGGGGAAATGGAGGGGGGAAATATAGTATTCTGATATATAAGATCTTACATTGAGGAGAAATGGGAAAGGGGGGTGTGAGATGTGGTGGGTGTGAGATGTGGTGGGTGTGAGATGAGATGAGATAGAATGTGTATAGATACCTAGATAGATATAAGTAATATATTTAGTATTTTAGTATTTTAGTATATTCTAATTAATTTCTTATTATATTTTTGTATTTGTATATATGCATGTATACGTATTATATATATATATATATATATATATCTAGATACGTATACCTAGTACCTATAAATCTACAAATCCTCAACTTCATCAAAAAAACCATCCACTCAACCCCCTCAACTTTAAATCCTCGATTCGATTATCTTTTAACAAAATCTATTCGCCTCTACTTTTTACTAATATAGAGATAGATGAGTCATAAGTGAGTATCTATCTTATATTATTATAATAGTAGAAGTATCTAGATAGCTGGAGGTATTAGATTAGATTTCAAGTAGTTGATTATCTGAGTAATTAATATATATACTTATTTACTTATTAGGTTAGTTGAGTTTTCAAGATTTCCAGTTTTTAATATCTATCAATAGGAGAATATATTTCTTAGAATTAGGTATACATACATACGTAGATATATACATATACATCATCATTCGATTCGAGGTTGTTACATAAAAATAAAAAAGGTATCCATAGTATAATAATCCACTTATCATCATCGCTCACCCGTCAATACTAGGTATTGGAAAATAAAAATCAACCTACCAAACAACTAACTAACTAACATCCTTCATTCCTTCCTTCTTTGATATAATACAAATGCGAAAAATAAAGTAAAAATCGGACCCCCGTCATCCCTCATTAGAATGTCGTTATATATACAACCATCCAAAAACCCATCCCAAAATCCGAAACTTTGTCCCTATTTTCGCGATATTTTTCCCTCCTGGTACGGATGGTATTAATATATTTCCTCCTCACATCATATTCCTATTATATTATGCCAAGACAACAAATGCAGCTGCAGCAACCGCAACAACGATACTTGTGAATTTGTTTCCTCCCAGGGCTGCTGCATCGGAAGAAGCGGAAACTTCTCCGACGATGTAGGCGGGATCGTAGACCACATCGCTCGTATCCAACGTGCCATTCCAACAGTATCTGTTGAAACAGGCGGTGCATGCATCGGGAACGGTGGTGTTGGTCTTGTACAGCGAGCGGGAAATCACCGCGCAGGCAACGCAGGTGGGCCATTCGGGATCGATGGTGGAGTTACCCATGGTGGCGACATTGTAGCCGTTTTCGATGATGAGATTGCGTTCGGTGGCGTTGTAGGAGGGGTCGAAAGTCGAGACGTTGGATTGGTAGATGTAGGGCGCGTTGGGGATGTAGACGACTAAGGGTGTTGGGCCCGTGGAATTGGAGGGGTCGCAACCGAAGAAACTGGGGCGTTTGTTGAGTCCGAGGTTGACGAATGTGTTTTGGCCGGGGATCGACGGGAATGCGGTTCCGTTTGCGATGGTGGCGTTTTGGGAACGCTCGTGCGTTGCGACGAGGGAGGTTCCGTTGGGCCAGAAGTAGGTGGTGTCGGCGGAGGAATCGATGGCGAAGATTACATCTACCTCACGGATAGGTTGGATGAGAGGATAAAGAGGGATGTTTTGACCATCCTCACCACCATCAACCAAATCTAATTGAGTGGCTTGGGCATCGCGGTTGGTTTCATTGTTGAATGCGTAAAAGGGGTTAGGTTGATATTGCGCAATATCATTGTTGATGAATCCGATCTTGTCGAGAATGGCAGTGAACGCGTCGGTGACAATAGTTGGAAGCGAACTTTGATTGGCTTGAATTAAAAATTGGTTGAAAAGTGAGGACGAAGTACCCATCACGTAGCCGACTTGATCAAAACCACGAACACATTGTTGCCCGTCAGGGATGGAACCAGCAGTGAAATTTGATCCAATATAACGAAGGGGTGCGAACCCATATGTCGTGGCATCCCACGAACCAAGCTCAAACGGATTGAATTCGTAGACTGTCGAATTTAGTGATATGATCTCGGTGTATGGCGAACGACCGTCAGCGACGAGGAAAGGCATAGGAATGTCGCCATTGGCGAAGTTGTCCTGGAGTGCAATTGATGAAAATGTATAAGCTGGTCCACCGTCTGTAGCATTAACCAATTGGAACGATAATGCGCGTCCCCAGTAATCGGTGACCGAAGTATTGAAATTGAGAGGAGCATCCGCTTTTCCAGAAACCTCCTTCTCAATGGTACTATAGTAATCAGCAGTACTCAAGATCTGAATACCATCATCGTTAGGTCCTTCGAAGATCGAGTTTTGGAAGTTCCACACATCAGAACTATCTCGTAAAGTTTCGACGCTACTAAAGTTGTTGGTATAGATTGATCCTACCAACCATCCACCACCAGAAAGACCTGCAAGGTAGGTAGTAGCTTGTAAAAGACCTCCAATTTGTCCCGTGTTTGTTGAATTGGCTGTTCGATCATCGGCAGCAGCGACGAATCCAGCACCATTCAACATTGCACGGTAACCTCCTCCAGATATTGCGATACCGATATTCGGCAACGTAGATGCATTGCCGGAGACCTTGTTTATATAGGCGGTTGCATCGAATCCGGAAATGTTCATCCTTTCGAGGAAAGTTATCATGGGTTGAATGGTATTATTTCTTCGTAATTCTAGCCATGATGTTTCATTGGCAGATAATTCACTCGCTTTCCTGATTGTTGGTCTGGTATCAGGACAATCTACTGCTCCTGGTGTGTAGCTTCCTGTTGGTGAATCCGGTAATGCACGCTTGATAGCATACATCGGTGCAGCTAACACTTCAGCAGCGATAATTTCGGGAGATGCATCTCGAGGTAAAACCAATTGACGAGCTAGAAATGTGTTAATAATTTTGAAGGTAGAACTATCTTGGGCTAATAATTACCATCACATATTGAAGATAATGCAACCGAAGCTACTATAGCTCCGAAGGCTTTCATATTGACTTGAGTGTCTTGTGTTACCTGTAAGTGGGTTGGTGGGTAGGTGGGTAGGTGGAATATTTAAGAGAAAGGAAAGATGAGAAAGAAATTCAAAAGAAGATATAATATAGTTAAAAAATTAAATGTAAAACTTTCTCTCTCTCTCGCCTCTCGTTCTCTCCTTCTTTCCCGTACTTGTTGGAAAAGATGATGTTTTGAATCAAAGGGCTCAAACGGGAACGGCAAAGCTAAAGAACGAGGCTCGGCCAGTTTATATGTTCGTATGACGCAGGTCCACGCTTTTTTCGGCCTAAACGTTAGTACGGGAGATCTACAGGGAGTCAAAGACGACTAATGTACGCAAATTTCCGACTAATTGGTAGCTTTCGGTTTGATTCGTTCAGAGAATTTGAGAAAAAAAAGTAAATTGGGTGAAGAAATCCTTTTGAGACGAGATAGGTGCAAGGTAGTTGCTAGTCAAGCAGCGAGGTAGTTAGGTAGTTAGGGTACCGGTAATATAAGAGAAATCATTAGTTCTTATATTGCTTGACTAAATTCGTTCTGATGAGACCTCAGCCTTAATCTTGCGAGACAATGTAGCAAAATTCTCGCTGGTATTGATTACATTAGACGCATGTAGGTATGTATTAGACGTCTAATGTATGGTAAATGTACAGCTGTACCGGTCCACTAATGTATCTACCTTTCACAGCCTTGTATGAGAATAGAACTAAGAAAGTGCTGATTATGTGGGGAGAGAAGATGTAAGAAGCTGCGGTGAATTTCAAATTGTACACGGAGGACAGGTGTTGGCTGCGGGATGTACTCGAGTGTTGCTAATTCGGTTCTTGATGACGGTAATGATGATAATGATTCTTCCGGCTACTTCTCGGGTGTCTTGTATGCAGGGGGAATGGAGGGGAAAAGGTACAGTAAGGTAAGACAGACCTCCTCTCCTGTCTTTGTGTACTCGGCAAGTGGAGTAGGGAGGTACCTACTCCGTATGGAATGAGAGCTATACGAAATGCGAAGTGAGAGCTTCAGATAGGAAAACACACTTAAATCGAAGAAAACATAAAATAAAGCAGCCACTATTTGTTTTGCCTTACTGCGCGGATAATCGGCTTCTCCCGCTGTGGTGTCGCTATTCGGATTAGTTCGACAAGTCCGCTTTAATATAATGGATAGAGTAGTCTAAACTCTCTTTATCAAGAAAGCTCGGCGCTTCGGTTGGCAAAATCTCCTTTGGCCTTTGAAGAGGATCAAATAAAGAATACCATGCATACCAGCTCACTCATCAAGCAGGCAGATAGTTGCCTCGGAAGGAGTATGAGATATGCGGAGTAAGCATATTTATGCAAATCCTCCATCCACAAGGCGCAGTCGTAATTCCAAACAAAAGCAAGCTGAGATCAATTGGGTCAAAGCCAAGTCTTAAGGGGAAAATGAGACCTGGAATGGCAAACTAACCCTGTTCTGTCGAAAATCCTTATAGAGGGTTCCCCAGTTTAAAAGCAGATATGGTACACCAGTATTTGGGAAGACTAGATCTTACACATACTATCGGTCGTATTGATCGTATTGATGCTCGGTCTTGAGTTATGAGTAAGGAATCGTATCGATCGTATGGACGCTCTGTTTTGACTTTGACGACGAGGATGTTGCTGTTTGACATGAGTGGGGTCGATAGAAGTTCCATCCGGAATGTTCGGTAAAGTTAAAAAGAAGCCAAGTTATAATATCAAACGAAGCTGCCAATGGAAACCAACTATACAAATGCCTCATCTCGCAATGTCATACCGGTATACCTAGGTATGCATTACTGTAAGGACGCAGCCATTACTATGGTGGCGGCTGCTCTCATGCGCGCGCTTCTTCTGTGCTCAATTCGGTTTGTTCGGTCTCTTGATAGGTGTTGGTGGAGTTTATCATCACATCACATTCTTGGTCGGTGATTTGGCCAGCGATTCGGCCAGCGTTGTCTTACAAACACATACCTCAGAACTTCGATTCGGATTTGATGATTACAGATACTTATTCTGGTGTCCTCGTCTGTACAATGCAAAGAGCTCTACACAGCCTTAGCACTGCGTAAGCTTCAAATCAAGTGACTTTTCCTGAATAATCATTATACACAAGCCACAAGTCACAATCATAACGAAAACATATCTTGGTATTCTTATTAGTTCTTGTCTGGGGTTGAAACTCCCAGGTTTCAAAGATATTGTGTTTTACGAAATGCTGTTAACGGTAGATGATTCCGTGTTTCAATCAGCTACATTGTCAAGTCGGCATCACTATAGATCTATAGAACATAATTGTTGTAGTACATCAAATCTGTTATACGATCATTTATATGTCAGACATTAGTAACATGCATGTGCGAGTTTCGAGCACTTTTCATTTACCTATAGATCTATAAATCAAATTTGAAATTTATGATTAAGATCTCGCGAGAGTGATCGATTAAGTGTTTTAATAGCAAGGTTATCATCTTCAATGATGGCTAGCGCAGTAATTGATCTATGCGGAGAGAGATGAAACGGTGTTTTCAACATTGGTCTTTACTTTTACTAGGTACATACGCTACAGACTACCTCGAGACTGCTTACTGTTCGCCAATTGGCAATGGGCAGTTACTGGAATCGATTTTTACTAATTCTTCATCATCAAAAGTCAAGACTGCATAAGCCAGTATTTCAAACTTTGGTACCTTCCCCAGTTCATCCACAAATCGGATTTGCATGGCAATGTAGACAGACTCGTTATACATCATACCAATAGCTATCACTTTCATCACTTTTGCCCAGTCCTATATACTATCTATATACTATCCAGTCCGGGCATCCCTCTCAACAGACCACCAAAAATTGACATGTCGACATCTCGGAAAGCCCAGTCATCTACGCCGGAATGATTGCAGGCATTTCGAAAGACGTCTGATCTTGTGGGGAAGAACTAGATACTCCTAGGTGTTATTCCCATCGTTTATTACAATTCGCATTGTATAAATGATCCCCTCAGGTACCTCCGACCCGACATCAAGTAAGTGTCTGATCAATTCGGCACTCTTCTCATTCACCATCTTCTTGCGAAATTTACTTGTCACGCCGTTGCAAATATCTCTGATGATATCCATTTTCTCTAGGGTTTGGCCAAGTAGCGCGCAGTCATTCAAGCACTAATGGGGTAAGCTTGATTTGTAGTCGATTGTGATATTGATCATATGCATTGAGATGCGAGAGTAGAAGTGTTCCATTAGGGCTGGAAGAGCGAAGAAGTCTACAAGTCACGAGCAAGATGAGAAAGGACGAAAGCTTCGACGCAGCAATAAAGCGGACCAGTATCTCCCGGCTGGCATTCACACAACTTATCTTGAGGTATTCCTGTTCGTCAATGCCATTGCCTCGATGTATTTTACATGGTAAATGAAGTTAAATTAAAAGGCCATAATAATATACTTAGGCTGATAGACGGCTATTTCCATCCAGCAGATTTTCTGGTGACCTCGGTGTGAGACTGTGAAAACTCATTGGACGCCAAAAATTTGCCGGCATGCGTTTGGAAACCTCAATATTCCGAGTCGAAAGACTGGGTGGTTGTGAATGTGATCTCGCTTGGATCAGCGATTTCGTGAGGAATGCGAATGAGGTGAAATGAAAGTAAATTGCATACAACTTAAAGTTCATCTATATTCTGGTGCAAAATCACACGTATCCATCTTATAACTTCAGCGGATAGTCTGTTAACGAATGAGTGTGGAAAGTTTGTTTTATTCGATAGTTGCAACACCCTGAGGAGAGATCACTTCAGTTCCTCGTTTTGGATCTGAAAGTAATGCAGGTCAGGTCACACTCTCAGCTAGAATTCTTCTAATAAATATGTCCGAGTAGGTAGTTGTTATTTATTGTATGGCTAATATATGTATATTCATGAAGTTTGATCTCAGAGTACCAAATCAATATTTACTTCATGCTCTATCATCTCAACCTTTCTAGTTAGTAGTATCTCAATATTTACGACTTGGAAGATCACGATATCCTAAGATCTCACATATAAAGAGAATACAAATGCACCATACGAATCCAGAATGAAACCACACATTTAAAGATCTTTTGGGCCTTGGTCTAAATTTATCTCATCGTGTAAGTACTGAAGTCGAGAGACAAACAAATCATTACTCGTCCCAAGTATCATAATCCAGACTGTTCAATGCTCATAAATTCTCTTCACAATCACATCGTCAAAGCCGACAAATATCAAATAATCCTTAATATTCCCTATAAACAAACGCTACCTACCTATGAATTACCTAATACAAGTCAATGTGTCCCCCTTAACCTAACGGAAAAGATTTTTGAATCCCTCCATTAGCATGGCCCTATTTCTACCCTTTCTCTGCTGCGCCTGCAATAAATCTCCAGCTACTTCCTCTCCACCACTACTACCATCAACCGTCATCGATAAATGCAATACATTCTCCTTTCTGACCTCTTCTCCATGAGCAGCCGTAACAATTGGCAAAGCCAACGAGCTCTTTCCCGACGGAGACTTGGAAGCAGTAGAGCGCTTAGAATTCAACGAATCATCCAACGAGCCCGAGCTCTTCTTGCTTCTGAAACTTGCAAGACGCGCCATGATTGGACTGGCAGTTGGAGAACGAGCAGCTCCCGTACCAGTACTACCCTCTTTCTCATCAATAATCACAGCAAGTCGCGAACCCTGTCTTCCACCGCTTGCATCCTGGCACAAGGAGTGTTCGTCTTCGGGCAACGGCATACTATCGCTAGAGTTGTGACGAGCTTGACGATTGAGAACCATCGGTCTGAGACTATCGAGCTCGGTGGCCGTGTGATCTTCTGCGCTCTTGTGAAGACTGGCAATACTACCCGAGCGCTTGGTGATGCTGGAGATGCTTGCATGGCTAATTTTGCGCATCATCGAGCTTGCAGATGCTCGGACCGTGTGTTCTCTGTGGGGTCGGGAGCCCATGCCTGGGTAAGGGATGATATCGCGGG